AAATACAGCACATGTACGCCAGCTCGTATTAGATGGATTATCAGCCCGATGTGGACTCCTCAGTGGACAACAAATATCTGCTTTGACCTCAAACCCACCAAATACAACAGCAGCTTTGAAAGGCAGCGTTTTATCTGAAGATAAAAAAAAACAACAAAATAAAACCAAACCATGAACTGAAAAAACAAAGAATTTCAACTTTCCAGAAGTCCTAGANATGCTGGTGCTGCTGTCAGGCTGCTGAGCCTCAGTGACTTCAGACTTAAAGAGCCCATCTGAGGCACCTTTACTGGTTCAGAGTTAGATTTTTGGGCTCTACAAGAATATGTTTACAGGCTTTAATGCTCAAAAAAATCATTACCTGAGCAAAGCCAGGTAACGTTGGTCAGAAACCCAGAGAGCAGAAAGACATCGTCCAAGCAGCAGTAGCTCCACTGAGACGGTGACGGTGGGCTGTGAGGCAGCTAGAGCTAACCTTTATGCAGGCATGATGTCTTTCATGGTATCGTAGACAGGCTGGACTGTAAACCAGGTGTGTCATGCAGGTAAGGAGCTGAGACTCTGTGGGGAGGAAAAGAACTTCCTTCCTGTTCGTTGCAGACTTTTAACACAAACAAAAAGCAGTGATATACCAAAGACTTAGACAAGGAAGAACCAAAAGGCAGAATTTGGACTCTTTGAAAAGATTCAATTAGAAATACTAAATATAAACTTCACCTTTAATAGTTTCCAATAAAACGACACAGCTTCCCCTAAAGCTCGTTAATAATACTGCAAAATAAACTCACAAAACTACGCTTTGCCCTCAAACTGACTGTGATAGCGCTGCAACACGACCTGATTTACCCTTAACAACTCATTTCTGTGTATCCCAGTCACATATTTACAGTTTTTTTTTTTTTTTAAATGAATAAATTCCCTTCCTGTAAAGCTCCCTGCAGCTCCAGCACACCAGCTCTCCTACAACTCTACTGAAACCCTTTGAAACGAGTCTGCGCAGAATAATCCTGGAGTAATCCAGCCATAAATACTGGAAGAATAATGACACAAGCTGCCAGCTGACAGAGTTTGTTTCTAACATTTAAAACGTCGACAATCTGAATCTACATCTCTGAGACGGTTACCTTCGGCTTCAAGGAGGAAAAACTCCAAGAATATTTGTTTTATAGCAGATAAAAATCACCATGGTGACAACGTAAAAACAAAAGGACTTCTACTGGCTGCAGGTGTCTCGGTGGTTAGCACCGTGGCCTCACAGCTAGAAGGTCGTCGGTTCATGTCCCGGTGAGGACACCCGGGATCTTCCTGCGTGGAGTCTCCATGTTCTC